CTGCCTGCACGCCCATGCCCACCTGCCGTTCTGCTGGGGGACCGTCTGCTCTCATCTGCCACCCTGTGCCAGCCACAGCCCCTGGTTCACTGGGGCCTGGGGGCCTCCGACGCACAAGGGCAGGACCCTGGGGCTGGGCACAGGTTACAGGGACAGGGGTGGACTGGAAGAGGTCAGCAGGGTAGCCTGTGGGACGCAAGGCTTCCCGGAAACCTGCACCTGGAGGCGGATCTCCAGCTTGGAGTCAGAAGTGTGAGGTTTCAGCCACTTTGGTTCCTGGTTGGCTGGATTCTCTGCCTGGTGCTGCCAGAGTTAGGGGACAGGCAGATTTGAGCTTTTCTGGTTTCTACCATGAAATCCTGGCCAAGGGACCCCGGTGACAGATGATGTCTTCCATGGTCAGTTCAGTGACCTCAGCAGCCTCAGGTCCTGGTGTGGGCTGGGCTTTTGCTGGCCCCTCATCATGCAAAGTTCTACCCACCTAGCCTGGAGTCACAGGGAGCAGTGGGGCTCAGACCTATGAGGGTCTCCCTGCCCTGGTGTTAGCCAGTGCCTGGCCATGGCTTCCGTGGGCTTGGTGTGGGGCTGGAGGCTGCACCCTGGGATTGGGGCAGGCTATTCCACTTCTTGATCCACTCGGCTGGAGTCTCTTCTCATCAGAGTCCTGGGACATTAAACCAACCTTTTACAACCCACTGATCCTGGCTGCCTCATTCTGCATCCTGGAGGGGCACACCACGGCCTGTGGGCAATAGGAGCATCATGGGAGCATCTCGGGTGGGGTGTCTGCCTGGAGCAGGTGGGCAGCTCTGTCTGGAGGAAACTTACCTTCATGACTGTCCAGGAGGCACGCGGGGAGTAGGTGAGGCTGAAGGAGTGCTCTGGGCAGCAGAAGCCGCTTGGTATTCAGTACCAGTTCCCACCTGCCCTGGTGCCAGATGTGACAAGTGTGCTCAGCACAGGGGCTCTGGTGGTCATGGATGGAGTTTATCCCTCAGTCTCCTTGAAAAGGGAGGCTTGTGCCAAGGAATGTGGTTGTCCTGCCCTGCCAGGGATCCCCCTGAGGGCCTGACAACATCCTGATGGAAAAGGCAGAAGAAGGTCTGTTGTGGGGAGCCTGCCAGCTTGCCAGGGCCCTGGCTGGCTGCATTCTCTCTGTGGCTCTGGAAGCCTGGCACGGGTGGTTTCCAGGGTCAGGCATGGCTCAGCCTTGCTGGTGCCAGGACTTCTTGGGTGGGAGAATCTGCCTTCCGTCTCCGTCCTTCATCTTCCCCCTGGGGCTCCCAGCCCCACCTCCTTTCTCTGTCACACATCATTGGCGCTGGACCGTCTAAAAGGATGCTTACAGTTTTCAACATTTTCACATCTGCAGTTACATTGATCCCCCACAATGACTCTGTGGAGCAAGCCAGCATTCATCCTTCCATTCATTCCACAAACACAGTGAGCACCATCCATTCTGCCAGACCCTTTCCTAACTGCTGAGGATGGTGAGGTCAGGGGCTGGGCTGTCCTCACAGGATGGGTGGAGGCAGGGCAGACTAATTCCATGTAATAGGAAGTGGGGGAGGGGCCGTGCTGGACACAAACCATGGGGAGTCTCTGCCCAGTACCCTTTCCCACAGCTCTGTGCTGGTTCCTGGAAGCCGGGTCTCCAAAGACTCCCTGCTTGGGTTGGGGCTGTGAGAAGTGTGGTGACAGCGGCTGAAATGGCAGGGTGAGCTACACCTCCACTCTTGGCCAGAGAGTCCGACCACCCCAAGGATAGGTGGCCCCATCCATGACAGTCAATTTTCACATTCTCTGTCCTGTGGATTTCATGGGCTGGACTCAGATGCTGGATAAGGGTGGGGAGTGTGAGTCTAGGTGAGTGCTGGAGGCCAGCACTCCGGAAGGGAGCCTGACCTCCACCACGGCCACTGGTGGTGAGAATGTTGACTGCTGGCCACCAGCCCCTGGACCTGATCCCCTCACCCTCCCCAAGTCAGAACTCTGGGCAGAAGGCTGCAGCAGGTGAGGCTGGGAGGAGCTGTGAGGTCCAGACTGCTCCGCTTGCTGCCCAAGATCATTAATAACCAAGAGCTGGAAAGGTAATTAAGAGCCAAATGTGGAGCTGAGCCTGCTGCTGGCTCCAAGGAGGGGCCGCTCCTGCTCCTCGGGCCCGGTGCTGGCTGCCTTGTTCCTTCTCTAGGAAGGTATTTTTGGGGGAACGTGGGCCCTGGGGGACGGGGGCAGGAAAGATGCCTCCTGCGGGTTCAGAGCTGGCTTGGCCCGGCTTCTTGCCCTCCTGTTCAGAGCCGCGATGTCCCTGCCTCCCCTGCCCAAAAGGGAGGGCAGAAAGCTTGGCAGGGGAGAGGAGAGGGGACAGTGAGGCCACAGATGTGAAAGTACTGTGAACAAGGACCTGAAGATCCAGGCACCGGAATGCTGTTTTTTTTCTCTTGGTGGAACACAGCGTAAGAGGCACTTTTCACTAGTCTCAGAGTAGGAAATTCTGTCTAACCCGGTTCCCTCCTGCCGCTGCCATAGCTGTTGCTGAGTGGCTCATGGCCTCCACCAGCTTTTCCCAGGGAGCCAGAGGCATGTGTTGGGAGAGGGGCAAACCTTACAGGGTGGGGATGATGTCGTGGGTGAGGACCCTCCAGACCAGCCTGTCTTGCTCTTTGAAACGGGAGGGCTGTCCTTAAGCTTCCTAAGGGATTGGGGAACCAGAGACCCCAAAAGCCTCAAGACCCTGAAGAATTCAGGTCAACTTCCTGTTTCTCAGTTGTAGCAGGCAGTGGCTACAAGATGACCTTTATCTCATTAGGAGGCTAGGAAACTAATTAGGTGTCTGGAGCCTTAAACAAGTCCGGGGGTCCTTGGCTACAAGTGCTTATGGCTGGCAAGTGACAAGTAAATAATAGTTTTATTGAGCACTTCTGTGCTGGGCACTGAGCTCAGTACTTTAATGCCCACACCTGGCCAGTGATAGAGGTATTACCACTGCACTTCACAAAGGAGGGAGGACAGAATGTCACAGAGGTTCACTGCCTGTACGTGGCAGGTCTGACGGCTTGGTCATCGTAGAAAGTACCCAGCACTGTGCCCTGGCATATAGCAGGCCCTCAGTACAGTTACTTCTCCCCTTCTCCAGCCTGCAGTCCACACCATCAGCCCCAGGAGAAGGGATCGCGAGGTGCTCTCCTGCAGCCATGGATCGGGCTGAAGAGCCGGCTTTTCAGTGGCCGTGAGCACGAGTCAGCCTTGCTCAGGACTCTGACCCCTAGACAGGCTGGTCTCAGCCTTCCACTTCCCCAGGCCTGCCACTGCCAGCCACTTCTGCTCCATCACTTTGGCATTAGCCTCTGCCTGTTGCTGAGGCTGCTCCCGGCCCCCACGTGGCAAGGACAGCTGTGTGGCTAGAGGCCTGGCATGGTGCCTACTGCTAACCTTCCACCACTCAGCAGTGCCTCTCAGCCTGTCACCTGCCCATCTGCCCCATCTATAAGTCTGCAGCTGCCTCTCTGGCCTCAGGTGAGGAACAGCCAGGAGCTGCTGGCACGAGGCTCTGGCGCTCAGGTGGATATGGTGCTTCGGTGGGGAGCAAGGCAAGAACATTCATTCCCACCTTGACCTGGCCTGTCCTCAAGGGCCAGTCTGGGGCTGGTGGGCAGAGGCTGCTGAGTTTAAGATCTCATCCACAGCGACATTCATACTTGGGGCCAGGCTGGGCAGACATCCTCTTCTGCCCTCCTCACACTGACCCTAGGGGCCATCTGCAAAATGGAAACCTCAGCTTCACCTGCCCATCTTGCCAAGTTGATAAAATGTCTCACTGTTGGGATCCTCGTCTCCCTGCCCTGAGCCCCCCTCACCGGCTATCAGTGGCAGAGGCCCAGTAGTGGAGAGGAAGGTGACCTTATCTGACCTTTAGCAGGAGAGACAGCAGATGACACGAAAGAGCAAAGAAACCAGACGGTGGTGGTGGTGAGGGCCCCCTGGCATCAGCAGTGTGGTCACCTTGGGCCAATTCTCTCCAGGGCTAGGACTGCCCCAGCTCGGGGTGGAGAGGACACAGCCACCCGCAGCCACCCAAACCTACTGCTGCACATGGCTCCAGATTGTCACATAAATCAACCTGGGCTTCATTTATTTTTTAATAAATTTGCGTCCAAAATTTGGTTTGGAGCCTGGGGCGGCAGGATGATTTAATTTGCTTTGTCCTTAAGCAAGAGGGAATGTAGGTGGCGAAGGGTAAGTACAGATGTTTTAATTGAGTTTTCAGCAAACAGCCAGGTAGCTCCAGGGAGGGCCCGGGCCACAGGGGGATGGACCAGGTCCTCGCTATCTTCGGCCTCAGCACTGTGGTGCTCTCCGGGCTCTGCCCATGCCAGGGCAGGGCCTCCTGAGAAGAAGCCACAGTGGCAGATGGGGAAGGGGTGTTCATTTTTCACCTGGATGGAAAAGGACGGTGTGTGGGGACAAGCTGTGAGACCGCTGATGTGTGAACAGCGAGAGCGCAGGTTGAGGCCGATTACGAGCCAGGGCTTCTCACGGGCTGCACCTGTTGTTCTGCCCGCAGACGCCCCACACACAGCCCGGCCCTGAGATCACCTTGGGCCACAGGAGACCCGGCACCATTGCTTTGTCCAAGGCCTGAAGAAGGTGAGACACAGGGGGAAGGAGGCAACAAAGATTCCCTCACGAGGGCCGAGCAAGGCACTGAAATCAAAAGACAGAGGGGCAGGGGCCTGAGACCCCTGCCAGAGGCAGCTCCGAGGCAAGCTGCTCTGGGCTCTGGGACTGTGGTACCAGACCCAGGGCTGGGGGCAAGCCAGGGAGTGTGAGGAAGGACCCCCAGGTCCTGAAGCAGGAGAAGGCACATTGAAATGAAGAGTTCAGTAAGTCACCTGTGTGCCCACAGAGGCCGGCCCCGCAGGCGCATGCATGATTGAGTGGGAGATGGCTGGGAACCTGGTCTTCTTCCACGGGAATGGCAGCAGTGCCCCATCCAACCCCGTGTCATCCAAGGGACATGGAGAGCGTGAACACTGAGCACCCACGGCCCAGTTCTAACGGGAGCTGCTTTTAGTGTTGGAGCAGGAGCAGGGTGGCCGAGCCAGGCTGCTGCCCTGCAGGCCTGGCCTCCTGGAGGGTGGGAACCACGGGTCTCTCGCACTGCCACATGCCCAGGGCGCTCCCAAGCCACTGAGGGTGGCAGGTGGGTGCAGCTTTCCTCAACACTGCAGGAGGCCCTGGGAGCCCTGGCGGGGCAGCCAGGGTAGCAGAGGGTGCCTCTTGGAGATGACAAGCTCCGGGCTTTAAGCCCAGCTTACAGGCTGCTGTGTCCCCATGTGGAAGGGACATGGCATCCAGCCTGCTGCTCCAGAGCTGGCGCCCACAGCAAGGGCCATCACAGCTCTGGTCCAGGGCCCTGGTGCCAATTAGCACTTCCCGTTCTCCAGGTCCTCCCCTAGGAGTGGCACTTAGCGACTCCCAGGCCTGGTGCGGAAGGTGGGCCCTGCCCTCACAGGCAGCTGGGTTAGGATGGTTAGGGCCTGGGATTCACCTCTGATGAGGCAGCAGCTGCTAGTGGAGCATTTCCCAGGCAAGGACGCAGGAGGGGCCGGGGAGGCAGGACGAGGGGACAAAGGCTCTAGTATAAATAGCAGCAGTGCCAGCACCGCGTCTCCCACCACACAGAGGAACGGGCCTGCTCTGGCCGTGGGGTGGTGGTGGTGGGGGGATTGGAGCATGTTGTAAAACAGAGGGGGTGATTCTGGTAACGAGTCCTGGAATCTGGGAGCAGCCGCACGCCACCCCAGGCAGGAGGACCTGGGAGGAGCGCTGCCCTGGTGAGTGAGGCCAGGTGCAGACTGGGTGGAGTCTTGGGCGGGGACAAGACCCGCAGCTGGAGACACAGAGGGTCCCCTCTGAGAGCCCTGCCTCACCTGCCCCGTGAGGACCAGGGAGGCAACTGAATCTTGGCTCTGCAGGTGGGGAGGTGGGGGAGGGGCCCCCAGCCCTCCCATCTCTGGGAGCATGCTGCCATCAGAGCTTGGTCTCGCTGAGGACAATGTTGGCCGTGACAAAGATGAAGCATGAGAAAGCCCAGAGCAGCACGAAGCCCACCCAGAAGGTGTGGCGGAACGGGGACTGGTGCTTGTTGACGGTTCCGTAGCCAAAGGCCAGTTGGGTGTCCTTGCGGCAGTGGAACACCAGGAAGGCAGGGATGACGTACTGGATGCCGGTGCCGGCATAGGCTCCTGTGATGCCCACCAGGGACTCCAGGTCGTGGGTGCAAAAGGCCACCAGCACGGGGGGCACCAGGGTGATGGTGGGAAACACGACGCGGTCCACCACCCACGGGTACGTGCCACCCTCGCGGTGGAAGAGTGTCTTCCAGTTGTTGCGCAGGGTCACGGCAATGATGGGGAAGTTGGTGCTGATGGTAAAGACAGGGAAGAGGCCCAGGAAGAAGCGGACAGCAGCCAGGCCCACGATGTCGCAGCGCGCGAAGTTGAGGGTATACATGTCCATGAGGCTGTCGCCACGGAAGCAGAAAATGGCAGTGAAGGAGAGGAGGCTGTAGAAGGCCAGGATCAGTACGTAGTCCAGAAACACCAGCCGTGTGAGGTGGCGCTTGGAGGAGACGGGGGTGACGAGGGACGGCAGGGAGTGCTGGCACATGAAGGAGTAGACGCACACCCCAAACAGGTTCCGGACCCCTGAGAGGTCGGCCAGGGGCGGGTGACCCTCCCCTTGCCCGTGCCCGATGCGAACCAGTGCCAGCACGATCATGATGATGAAAGCTGGAAAACAAGAAGGGTCAGCCAGCGGGGACAGAAATAGCCCTACCTGGGGCGACTTCTGCTCTGGGGGGCCTGTGGAGGGACTGGAGCCAGGAGAAGGCGTCATTAAACACAGATTTATGCGACCCCAACAGCCACATCCCGGGACAGGTCGAGTGGCTGCTGATCTTAGGAGCGTTCCCTGCATTCTTTCTCCGTGTCCTGTTCTCCCCCCTCCCACCCGGCAGGGGGCCTGGCCATGACAACAGGGGCCAGGGCTGCACTGGGTCATCAGCCCGGTGGCCTGGCACCATGGCAGCAGCTCTGTCTTCTCAGAGAAGGGCGAGTCCTGCTCAGGCACTGCCCAGAGGCTCTCTCAGGGGCTCTGCCAGCTTCCCGGCAGGGAGCAGGGTGGGGAGGACTCTTGTTCATTCTCCTTCCCTTGGGTTAAAGAATGTGTATCTGGGGAGCTGGGGGAAGTGAGGGGAAGTGGAGGGCAGAGGGGCCCACAGCATTTGGGAGGAGGTGTCCTCCTGGGCAGAGGGCACCCGGAAGACACAGCTGAGGGCAAACAGGCATGGATGCTGGGACCCTGAGCAGAGGTGGGTGGCCAGGGGCAGGATGTTGCCAGTGGTCACTCCAGAGAAGAAACAGCACCAAGGACTGGTGCTGGGACTGCTGAATCCTGAGCTGCTGGCACCAAGGCTGGAGGCAGATGACACAGTGAGGGGCCAGGAACTTGCTGCAGAGGTGGCAAGGGGCCTGTTCAGAGTGAAGGGGCTTCCATGGCTGATGAAGACCAGGTGGATTCACCCTGAAGCCTTCACAATGCCCCTCCCTCTGGGCCTGGGCCAGTCTGCACAAGCCTGTCCTCTACAGTGTAAGCTCCCTGAAGACAGGGCTGAGCAGAACACCCACACCAGCAGGGCTCAGGAAGAAGTGTGCAATCAAAGTTCCCAGAACTCAGAGAAGATGCCACTTCTGGATCTTTCTGTGTTGCTCTAGGATCTGCTATTAAGATGGCCTAAAACTGCCATTGTTAGCTACTCACACACAGAAACCACAGGCGTCCCTGTCTCCATCCTGGAGGTTACAAACTCCTGCTGTCTCTGTTCAGAACAGACCTGACAGCCCCTCCAGCCTGTGCCCTGGTCCCTCAGGTAAAGCCCATGAGCCCATGTGACCTTCCTTGGTGGGCAACGTGCAAAAGCAGTGGCTAGAAGAGGACAGCACGTAGCTCGGCTGCTCCCGTCGGCTGCCTGGTCAAGGGCTCAGGGCTCTTCCCGGTGGGGAGAAGGGGAACCCCCATGGTCTCCTTCCGGCCTTGTCGTACTGCCCGGCTCCTGGAGGGACAAGGCCGTTCTGCTGGGACCACAGAAAGACCAAAGTCTTCCCACAACGACACCTGGGAGTGGAACAGAATCTTCATCTATTACTTTTAATCAGATCTGCCTGACACTGTCGGGGACAGCAGAAGAGCGTGGGAACAGGCCTGTGAAAATTGCCAATAAAAAAGGTGATTTGTTCCCGACTCTCACAGCCCGCTCGGTCCCCGCGACTCCTGACTCCGAGGGCCCTGTGACTCCTGCTGCTCCAGGGCGTCACAACTCTTCCCAGCTCTGGTCAGTCAAGGGGAAGTAGTGACCTAGTTCCTCCCTCAAGTCTCAGCCCAGGGAGCTGTCTGCGTTCATCCTCTGGGGATGGGGCACAGGACACCTCAGGGCCTCCCTGCTCCCTCGGGGACAGCCTAGGGCCCCAGGCAGTCTGGCTTGTCTCAGAGGTTTCTGGGGGTGGGTGCCAGAGGAGTGGGCGCAGCAGAGGTTTTGTGGAAGATCCGCACCGCAGGAGGTGTGCTGGGGCAGGATGTGAGGGGGGCCCGGGGAAAGGTGAGACAGGCCTGAGGTGGAGTCTCCATGTGCCAGAAAGTCTGTCCTGGGCCAGGAAGGGTTACAAAACAGAGCTGAGCAGGGTCAGGGGTGTGTACAGGGGGCCCTGCGGCTGCCTGGTGATTAGTTATTCAAGAGGCTGCAGCAGACGGCTCTGTCACAGCAGGTAGGGCGCAGGGTCAGGGCAAAGGGGACAGTGCTGTAAGGCAAGATTCAAATCCTGGTCTGCCCTACCATCTTGGGGTGCCACCTCATGACCGGGTGCTGCTCCTGGCCCCAGCTGGCTGGCACAAATTAGGGAAGAGGCCTGTGGAGAAGTGCTCTGGCTTCTGTGCTCGGCCAGTCTGGTGAGCGGTGGGAGGCCTGTGAACGAGCGCCCCCTCTGGCTGCTCTCTCCAGCCCCAAGTCCCCACGAAGTTGATAGAAATGCAGGTAGAAACTGGCTCCCTTCCTTCAAGGCAAGCTACCTGGACAGTCCTAGTAGAGGGCTGTCCTTGTTGTCAATAAACCAATTTATGAAGTAGGTTCCCAAAGGAATGAGACTGATTTTATAAAGCGTGCACATATACACCCCAGAATGTATACTACAACAGGGGTCCTCCAGAGTACTTGTCTTGCGAGGCTGCACTGTTATGTTACTGATGACGTGGGACACTTTCTAGAACTTTCAGGATCTCCTACAAAGCCATGGCTATGGGTGATAAGAAAAGCTATCTCACAATCTTCTAGCCATAATTAATTTTAACTCAAATGCTACTACCTAAATTAGTTATGCATCTTGTTCTCTCAATTTTCTTAAACAAACAAGTCTATTTCCAGAAACAACTATTTCCAAAAACCAAATCTACCGTCAAAGGCTGGATGTTTACTGCCGTCCAGGAGTGAAAAGATACCAGAAGCTCTTGGGAGGCAATTCCAGGAGTGTTGAAAAGTGGCTGATTTGTGGGGTTGCAGCTCCCCAAAAAGCACCTGGAGGGGACAAGCTCATCCAGGGGGGCATGTGGGATTTTCGTGAGTGTCCTCCCTCCCATTAGTCACGCCCGCACGGTTCCGTCAGAAGCACACCCGGATGCTCCGCTCGGCAGCACAGAAATGCCGGCAGCTTTGGAGACGGCAAACCTCCCGGCCTTCTGAGGATCCTGACTCAGTGCCTGGGTGGGCTGGAGATCCGCTTCCCTGAGGAAGCGGCCCAGGGAGAGACAGTGCCCTTCGGTTCCCCACTTCCACGAGGAGGTGGGCGCTGGGCTCTGTCCCTTGGGAGTAGAGAGGGAAGGAAAATGTTCCAGCCTGGCTTCTGAACTGGTAAGTTCAAAGGAAACCAGTACCACTACCCTAAACCTCAGGTTACGATGGAGAGACAAAGAAAAGGGAAAGGAGCAGGAGGTCCAGGTGGGCTCTGACCTCGAGGGGTCCCGAGACCAGTGGCATGAGACCCAACCCCCACTGCCCACTGGGGACTGCACCTGTGGCCACACCCCTCTGTCAAGGCTCCTCCCTCCCCTGGCTGCTGGAGGAGTGGAATTCAACAGCCACCTCCTAGATTAATTGCCCTGTCCCCTGGAGACAGCTGTTCCAAAAACTCATTAGATCTGATCATAAATCAAGATGAAATGAGGATGACAGGCCGTGAGCGACAGACCTGCCAGGATGCGCGGCAGGGAGCAGGTCTCCAAGAGCACACACCAACGCGCAGGGCCCGGCCGCCCACCTTGCTGGGGTGCGTGGGAGATGCAGATGGATGCGGAGGTGGGACAGGGCAGCGAGTGCTCCCCAGACATCCTGGTGACCAGAAATCTGGGACTTCCCAGATGTGCAAGGGAGTCTGCCCCTGAGCGGGGTCTATAGTTCCCCAAGGGCAGGGCTGGTCAAGCTTGTTCTCTGACCTATCACAGGCCCTGCTCAAAGAATCCATATCCACCTGCCTTCCACACTGGAAGTGACACTGCAGGGGGTGCGGAGAAGCAGTGAGGAGCCAGGAGGGCTCAGAAGGGAGGGAAGAGGGGAGGCCTGACACCATGTCACATGAGTGGCTGTCGGGCCTCGGAAAGCTCAGCTGCAAGGTGACAAGGGGGACAGGAAAATTCTTTTAACATCTGAGGAGCAGTCAACGTAAAAACAATTGTGCTTTTTCTGTGTAACCCCTGGGCTCAACCAGGAGTTACAACCCTGAGCTCAACCCTGAGCTCATTCATTCATTCATTTGTTCAACAAAGATGTACCGAGCCTCCACGGAGTGCTGGGCACTACTGTGATCATCTGGGGATAGTGTGCTCAGATACGGGCCCTGTCCTTCTGGAACCTACAGTCCAGGGCACCCATAGGGGAAGGTTCCAGGAGACAAACGACAAGAACAGAAAGAACTGGTCACACCAGTGGCAGGGTGGATGATGACATCTCTGTAGTGGGAGGTGTCCAAGCCCGAGGGTAGAAGACTACCTGGTGAGGGCCACAGGGGGACCCAGGCATCAAAGGGGACTGGAAAGATCTTTTGGGACTGTCCCACTTACAAGCCTGTAGTTTAGTAGGGGGAGCTTGGTGCAGGGCATGACCAGGAGTCAGGCGCCCCCCAGGTCCCATGACTCCACCCACCGAGGTGTGCTGGTTGCACACAGACCTGTTCCAACAGTTGATCTAAGTCCTACAGACTGGCCTCCCCATATTGATTCACCCTGAGCTGCAGCCTGCGTCTCCCCTCCCGATAGCTGACTCCTCGGGACGGAGTGAGAAAGACGGAACAGAAGGCAAGTCATTATTGCAGGAGCTGAGATAAAAACATGCACCAACCCTGAGCAATGAGCAGCTAGTTTGCAGAAAACATCACCCTTCCCTTTCTGAGGAGGGAAGTTGAAAGTGACATGCACACAAGGACCGACATGCCCGTCTGCAGGGTGCAGGCCTCGGGACCAGATGGCTTACAGCCCATCCAGTTTATGGGTGTCAGAATGAGCCAAGGAAAGGTCAGTAGTTCATGTCCGTATCAGCTTTCCATTCCTGGAGATGTCATTGACTTCAAGCGTGGCGGTCAAGGGGATATTTTATGTCAAGATACACTTTCACAACAAGCAGTGAGTCATCAGTGAGGCTCTTAAAGCCATGACTGGAAGGGCCCAGGGTGCATCTGACTGGCTTCCTCCC